CTTCACATCACAATAAAAAAGAGGACAAGCACAAACATTCAGCATATACTAAAACAACAGCAACAAAGGAAATGATAACACGATTCATAAACATAATGAGCTCAGCACAGAAAATAATACGGAACAAAGAAACCAGGGACACCATGAGAAAACATAATAAAATGATAGCAACCAATTCATACTTATCGATAATTACAATGAATGTTAATGGATTAAATGCACCACTCAAGAGACAAAGAGTTGCAGATTGGATAAGAAACACAATCCATCAATAGGCTGCCTACAAGAGACACACCTTAGAGATAAAGACAGAAACAGACTAAAAATCAAAGGCTGGAAAAAGATCTATCAAGCAAATGGCAACTGTAAGACAGCAGGAGTGGCAATATTAATTTCTGATCAAATTGACTTTAAGACAAAAACCACCATACGAGACAAGGGAGGACATTATATAATGATTAAAGGATCAACTGAACATGAAGATATAACCGTAATAAATATCTATGGACCCAATGAAAGAGCCCCAAAATACATAAATCAGACGTAAAAGAGTTGAAAAGCCAAATAGATGACTCCACAGTCATAGAGGGAGACTTTAATATACCACTTTCATTGAAAGATAGAACAACTGGAAAGAAACTCAACAAAGATGTAGAAGAGCTAAAGATTATAATCCACCAACTTGTCCTTACAGACATCTACAGAGCACTTCACCCAACAGCAGCACAATATACATTGTTTTCCAGTACACATGGAACATTTTCCAGGATAGACCATATGTTAGGCCACAAAGCAAGCCTTCATAAATTTAAAAACATTGAAATACTGCAAAGCATCTTCCCAGATCATAATGCTATCAAGCTAGAAATCAACAATAGGAAGATCAACAGAAAAAGAGTAAACAAACACCTGGAAACTGAACAACAACCTCCTTGAGAAACACTGCGTAAGAGAAGAAAGTTAGTCATTTCTCCCAATAACAATTCAACTAGGTCTCAGTTGACATTTTGCTTTAATTTACTACCTCCTGAAGGGTAGACAGGGGAGATATTCCAAATTCGCGGACTTGAACAGCACTGTAAAGTCCCTGTCATATTAACTGGATTAAAAATAAGGAAAAAACAAAAGAGTACTTTAATTTCACTTTATATTTAATTCTAATGCTGACAAAAGCCTAAGGGCACACCGAGAAAGAATGTACTCACTTGGTAGCTGTTGGCAAAGAAGAATACTATGCCCACACATGAAAAGCTATGTCCAAACTAGGTGAAAATATCCAATAAATTTTTTAAGGAATGCTGTGCTACAATGATTTCAAATGTATTTAAGTAAAAGCTTTTGCATGTTTGCTCTTAATTATTGTTGGTATATGAAATAGCTCTATTCCAGAAAACCACAAAGATATAAAGTCAAGAACAAATGTAATACACCTCAAACTATATTTCTAAATGCCTATCTGTGACTTACCAGGTACTCACTGCAACAATGAATACAAGGTGTAAGTTACTCAAAGAAATAGTCCTGTTAGGTATATTCTAAATAGGTACATTCTAAATATGAACCAACTAGAAAATCTAATCATCTGGTATTCAAAATCCTTTGTGCTCCAAATCCTGTTAACTTTAAAATATGAGATTTTACTATGCTGTAATCCAAACTGATCCAGGTATAAATTAAGTCAAAATGTTTGTCATAAATACATTTTACTACCATTATGATTTATGCACAAGGAAAACAGGTAGTGACTAAATTCTTTACAATTTCCAGAATCCTTGTAAGAAAATAATTAGGATATATTTATTCTTTTCTTGCCATGTAGTTCCATAAGACATATCAGAGTTTCAATTTCCTATATTTTAAAAACATTAATATAAAATATAACACGTTCAACATTTTAAGACTGGAAGACGTTCTTTTTATAAATGGCAGGGGAAGAAAGCTGGACTATTAATTTAAGCAGCTCTCTATATAATAACACCATAAAACAAATCCTTTTAAAATCTTAGGGGCCTTAAAAAAGATTTAGAAAAATGCACTGAAGTTAGTAATACTAAACTGATGTAAAATGCAGCTTTTAAGAATATATGGAACATAGTAAAGATTAAGCAAGTTGTTTTTATTCTTAGTATGATACCAAGCATGACAACTTTCATAATAAAGTCACAATGTACAGCAGTCTTAGTATCATGTCTGAAACACAGCTAATGAACCACACTGAGGGTGTAACACATGGGTCCTCCATGTGTTTTTTGTAATTCATACTTCCTAAACCTTCCTGCTCTCTTAGGCATGCTCAGCAGCAACTATTTTCTTAGTTAAAGTGCCATCACCAGAATAACTGAATTATTCAAGGCCTGGAAAACTTTCCAAGTCACTAAAAACAGCATCTCTGTGGTTAACAGGCACAGCACTCACCTTGACTTTGGAGCCGGCATAAAGCCGCTGAGCCAGTAATCTTCCTGCTTGGATTGCTACTGGGGTGAGCTCCAGCTTACCCTCCAAAACATCACCAATGGCATAGACGTAAGGCACGTTGGTCTGTTCCTCATCAGTGACAGGTATTTTTCCAGTCCTACAAATTCATAAAACTAAAATCATCAATCACCATCATTAAGTAGAGCAAAGTCCCCTTTTTAGCAAGGAAGCCCAATGCTGTAACTCAAGCTGAGGACCACATTCTAGCGTTTTCAAAAAAGGAAAAAAAGTTCAGAGGAACCAAAAACTTACTGACAACTCTGGTCACTATTATGAAAAAAATCAAAGGCAAAGGAAAACTATAAGAAATCCTAGAATGGGAGAACTAGAACATAATGTTCAAGAATATAGATTCTAAATTATAATAAACCAGGTTGGCTAATTATTAGCTCTCTCTAAACATCAGTTTCTCATCTATAAATAGAGTAATAGGAATGAGAAGGGAAAACCTTAATGGGCTGTGAGGACTGAACAACAAAGTATATAAAACATGTAGTACAATAGCCCAGGGCTTGTGCTAAGTGCATAGATGTTAGCTATTAATATAAATGTCACTAGAAATGTAGTGATCCTAAAATTTGGTAGCATCTAAACATGGTTCAAGGAACTCTAGTAGCATAGTGCCTAAGGCATTTGACTGCTAACCAGAAGGCTGGCAGCTCGAATCTACCAGCCACTCCTCAGAAGGAAGCTTGGGCAATCTACTTCCATAGCGATACCGCCTCAGAAACCCAAGAAGGGGTTGCTGTGAGTTTGGTTTACTTAAACATGGTTCAAGTCCACATACTTACATGAAGCTCAAAGCACATATCTGCAATTACCATATTTTACACAAACAACATGCATGTTATACATTTTGTTTTTTAAACTGTGCAACCTTGTCCTGTGTTAGTTTTCTGAACGTGCCATTTGCATTATATGCCTGTGCAAGTTGTATGTATGAGGACATTGTATGTTGAAAAATATGGTACCAGAATCCTTTAAAGAAAATAATTAGGACATACATACACACATTAAAGAAACAAAATGCAAGCCAGTATTTCTTACTTAGATTTTAAGGGGAAAGAAACAAGTAAGAAATCCTAATATGAGTGGCACGAAAGAAGAGTTTTCTAAGCTTAAAAGGGGACTTTTAACTATGGTCCAAATGAACTTCAATAATCTAAAACTCTAGTATTGATCAAAGCTGTAAATAACTGGAGTAATATTCAATATAGTATAATGTTTTTTACTTACTTTTCATTTATCTTCACTCCCACAGTTTCTAAACCAATTTTCCTTGTGCATGCATCTCTTCCTATTGCCAGCAATACCTGAAATAGTGTAATAGCATAGTGACTATTAACAAAAAGGCTTTGCATGAGCATGAGTTATTTAATCCTGTTTTCCTCTGCTTATTAAAGCCAATCTAATTTCATTCTTCAGACCTGGAAAGCAGGATTTCATTAAGAAAACAATGCAAGAGTTTAATAAACAAATTAAAGTCTTAAAAAAAAAAATCCTTTGAACATGATGTAGCAGAAATCCTTTCTTATTTCTTGATAAGAAAAGGGAAGTTTATTCCTTAATAAACCTAGCCAGTTGAGAGGCAAAGATAGCATGTACTATAACTGCATAAAATTTTTTTTCATTGGAGGCTGGGGAGATAGATGCAAGGGAAGAACCCAGGAGAAAGGAACTCTAGCTCATTTTAAAAATCTGGTACTTTTTTTTAATAGCCTTTGACAAACAATATTTTAATTTACAGTGGGAAAATCTTAAACCACTTCTGTATCAAAACACACGATCATATCCTACGTGATAAAGGTGTCAGAATAAGCAGAGAAGCAGTAGTGCATTTTGCAAGCAACAAACAGCACGTGCCACGGGAAGTAACCAAAGATATCCAATGAGCACAATTTACTTTCTAATGAAGAACTGACTTGGGTCTGTTTCTTACCGTATTATACTCTCCTTCAATGGTTTCCTCAGTATTGGTGGACTGCGCTATCACCTTGAGTCGGCCTGGTGTCCCTGCTTCAATTTGCTCAACCTATAAAAGGGAAAGTTTTACTCTGAAATAAAGACACGCATCAAGGGGGCTAACTACATCCTCTCCTTTTATCCAGTTAACTAACGTGAAAACCTCCACGTGGCTCTGAAAGGTCTTTTGTGGCCTACCTCCCTCACCTCAATGTCTTTAGAATAAATGATTTTTTTTTCATTCCCTTCTTTCCTGATGCTTAATGTTGATTGTCATTTCAAATAGTTGTAAACAGAATAAAATCCAGAAAGAAAAGAAGAAAGTCAGAGAAACACACTACAAATTCAGAAGTCCTCTTAGACTACAAATGTCCAGCTTTTTTTGACACCAAAGAATAGATACTGAAGCAATGCTGACAGACCTAAGTATCATTGTAGGCACAGAGACACGTGTTTATCCTAACCAGTGGCTGTCTTTGTTTAAGGACTAGGCTAGCCCTGGGACTTGAGGTATGGCAAATGAGACCAAACATACTAACCTATACAGACATGGCAATGATAACCCACACGCTGGGTAACAATGACATAGAAATCCTATCACTTGGAGGCTTCTCTAAGTAAGTGGAGTTACCTCTGATGTCTAAAAAGGCAGCAAAACCACAGGCTTCTATAAAACATTCATGGAGAGAAACCCATAAAATCACTTGCTATTTCTATTCTACCTTTAAAATATAACCACTCTGAATAGAAAAACTGTCAGGTTTCGTGTAATTTTCAACATCAATAATTAGCAAAAATTTCCATTCAGAACTCTCTTCTTTTCTGATATGGTCAGCTCCCTTTGAACATGCTGCAAATGGCTTTCTTATTTAATTTAAATTTAACTATTCCAATTTTTTAAGAAGCGTAATGCCTAAGGCATTTGACTGCTAAACAGAAGGTTGGGGGTCCAAACCCACTAGACACTCTGCAGAAGGAGGGTGGGGCAACCTACTTCCATAAAGATTTATTGCCTCGGAAACCCAATGGGGGACACTATGCATCAGAATCAAGTGGCAATGAGTTTGGCTTCTTGGTTTTAATCTTTTAAGATTAGAATTGGTCTACGGCTTCATCTTATTTCAAAATGCCAAGGTAGGGGCCTCATGTTACCTGTATTCCTTCCTGACTTGCTCAATTTTATGCTCGAGTCAGGACTTTTCAGTATCTGTAACAATTTTCCTCCTTACAGTGTCTTTTGCACATGCTATGTTCTCTATTCAAAATGCACTCTGTCCTCTCCTCTTACCTGCTTTATTTACATTTCACTTCAAATGTCACCTCCTCTATGAAGCCCTCCTTTAAGCTCAGAGTAGAGAAAACATGCCTGCTATGCACCCTTTTAGACCCCTCTACTCCTCCTTCATAGCAAAGAAAATACAGTTACTATGTTATTACTTGCTTATTGTTTGATTTGTGTCTCTCTTGTTCTCAATCATACTCCCAGTGCTTGGAACAAAGTTGACACTCAAACCACCTGTAGAACAAACGTTTCCCTGTATGCTGTGGAGTGGCATAGTATCCAACCTCGAGTACACTTTCTAATAAAGAAACTATACCACTGAAGTAGGGTTCTACCAAAGCTTAATGATTTATATTTAGATTACCAGCCTCTTAGTTTTCCTGGGATTTTAAAATAGCCTTCATATACAAAAATACCACTGCGCTGATCTAACATATTCTTCACAAGTAAACATGTGCATTCTTAATATTCTGATGACATCAAGGGTTATCAATATATTTGTGGAATAAGAACCAATCAAGTCATCTTACAAAATTGTATAGTATTATAGTTTTCAGGTACAAAAGAAGTCCTCTACCTAATCCCTCACTCATAAAGAAAGGGAGCCTGAAAGAGGGTAAGTAAAGTGGACACGGTCACAAGGTCACTGGCAGTGTTGTCAAGCCTCCTTGCCAGCAGAAGGCTCCTTCCATCAAGTCTTTGTAATACAACAGGCATTTTTTAACCTGGTTATGGGGAGTTGGGGACACCCTACTAGCAAATAAAATGTTCTGTGCACAGACACAGCTTCTCAAAGGGGTCTACAACCCCCAAATGTTAAGATGGCCTGTAGAAAACTCAAAACCAAACTCACTCGACTCGAGTCGATTCTGAGTCATAGTGATATTTAGGACAGAGTAGAACGGCCCCATGGGGTTTCCAAAGCTGTAGATCTCTATGGAAGCAGACTGTCTTGTATTCCTCCCATGGACCAGCTGGTGTGGGTTTGAACCAACCTTTTGGTTAGCAGTGGAATGCTTTAACCATCCTGACACCAGAGTTCCTTGGCTTATAGCAAGATGTTGCTTTTCTATCACTACAGCATATACTCTAAGTACAGCTGTTCTCTAATCATAGTACTGATGGAAACACAGAGCCCTACTCACCAAAACCAGCTACAGCAAGCACCGGCAACTTCCAGGAAATGTACTACTTAATCCTCACAACAACTGATGACATTTTAAGTGTTATGTAATGTAATCCTCACAAGAACCCTGAGCTACAGCATTCCTGATTGTTAATACTGCTGGAAGGATGCTTCCCACCACCCATCCCAACTCCCTCTCTCGTGTTTTAACAAGGGTACAAAATCAACAAAACTATCAGCAGTCCCCACTTACTTTTATTGGTACAAATTGTCTTATAAACTTGATACCATGTTCTTCCATGTGTTCACCAATTTTGTTGGCCATGTCCTGGTCAAATCCTCTAAGGAGAATGGACCGCACCATAACAGTGACATCCAAACCAATACCAGCAAGAAATCCAGCACATTCCAAAGCAACATAGGATGCTCCAACCACCAGGGTCTTACCCGGGGAGTAAGGTAAGGAGAAAAGATCATCACTGAAAAGATATTTAGGAGTACAAAAGGAAAACATTAAAAATGTTCATCTGTCAATAATGAGAAAATCAAAATAAATATTTTTATTTCCATAACCACCAGATATTTTAAAGATTAAAAACATTCTGTTAACAAAACACAATATAATAAGGTTTTTTATAAACTCTTAAACACTCTCCCCTTTTTTGCCACTCTCAGTTGCTCTGGGAGTAGCTTAAGGTACTTCTGAAATTAGCCCAACAAAGTTAATTCTAGATTATTTAGTTACTTAATAACTAAAATTATTTAGTTATCAAATGTGCCAAGGTCAAATTAAATGATTTTGAACTGTCTCAAGAATAGCAATGACTACGAGGATGCCCCATGACCAGGCAGTGTTTCATTCTGTGGTACACAGGGTCCCTATGAGTCAGAAACAACCAGAAGGCACATAACAACAACTACATGTTTAAAAGCATACATGTGTATACAGTTGCAAACCCAAACCTCTACTCAGGCCTCTCCTAGGTAGAAGAACCTGATACATCTCACTTGGCACATCAATTATTGAGAACAGAAGAGAAAGGTGAAAAAGACTTTTAACATCTTGCTTCCCTAATACAAAAATAAAAAACCCTACAAAAGCCTCTACTCTAGTGAGGAATATACAAGATACAGAGATCATAACAGCATTGTTAGGAATGAAATTTTAAAAATGTGATCTCATTCCCAACAATGCTTTTATATTTAAAAATATGAGAAAGGAGCCTATCCAAGGCAGCAATGACAGCAGTTACCATCTGAGCTGCCTGCTCCTGGGCAAGGCCACAATGGATAAAATCATAGCACGTGCGTGTGCGCACGCGCGCGCGCACACACACACACACACACACACACAAAGTCAGCAATGTTATCATTCTGTAGGCAAAAAAATCACCCTGCAAAACCTTCTTATTTGACTTATGTATTTCAGAAAAGTACGGACACTCTCAGCATGGACACTCACCATTTCCACAGCAGAGAGCAGAAACAAGGACCTGATAAATCTAAATAGCCTGCCCGCCTCTAATTCTTTTAACATCCACTTGGCAAGTTTTAAAGGATAACATATTCATTCTTTTATCAAAAATAAACAGATACACAGAAATAATTTATTTTATAAAATACCTATTACTATCAATCTGATTTTATGTATTACACATTTATAATATATACTCAAACTCTAAAAACCCACTGTCAGAGTTGATTCTGACTCATAGCAACCTTCATTGGGTTCCAAGGCTGTAATTCACAGAAGCAGACTGCCTCATGTTTCCTCCACAGAGCAGCTAGTAGGTTCCAACCACTGACCTTCTGTTAGCAGCCAAATGCCTTAACCACATGTTTCTTCCACAGAGCAGCTAGTGGGCTCCAACCACTGACCTTCTGTTAGCAGCCAAATGCCTTAACCACTATACCACCAGAGCGCCTCAATATATACTCACACCAAAAAAAACAAACCAAATCCACTGCTATCAAGTTGATTCTGACTCCTAGCAACCCCCATTGGGTTTCCAAGGTGATAAATAAAAAGTAGATTGCCTCATGTTCTCTCCACGGAGTGGCTGGTGAGTTTGAACCACCAACTTTCTGGTTAGCAAGTCAAATGCCTTAGGCATTGCACCATCACAGCCATATATACTCACATATATGTAAATAAATTTCAGGTACGAACATAAATAGTATTAACATATTTCTTCATATAAACATGGGATATAAAATAATCAGTGATAGTAATGTTAACTCAAGGTTGTGAGATGACCAATGTTTGTTAGTCTCTCCTCTGTAGCACCGAATTTTTAAAATGTACTCTTATTAAAACAAAATGTGACAAAGAACTCTTGAGTTCCAGGAAATAGACTAAATGGATTTGGGGGATAAAAAAAGCAAAAATGAAAATCCACCACAGGGTTTCCTTTTCCTCACCTGCTAATGCAGTATTCTTGATCCCCAGGGATGCCTAAGTAGCGTGGCCTTTCACCAGTGGCAATAAGAAATCTCTCTGCTGAGTAAATTTTTTCCTTGCCTTTATTATTGGTTGCCTACAAAGGAAACAATGTCAACTTTTAGTAAACCATTTTTCCACAGAATTGCTAACTTTATTATAAACTATGCCCTCCGGGTCATGGTGGCCATTACTGTTGTTAGGTGCAGTCAAGCTGATTTTGACGCTCAGTGGCCCCATGTACAGAGTAAAACTGCCCTACAGCATGTTCTAGGCTGTAATCTTCACAGAGTAAATGCCAGGTCTTTCCCCCATGAAGTCGCTGGGTGGGTCTGAACTGCCAACCTTTCATTCAGCAGCCAAGTACTTGACCATTGTGCTGCCAAGGCTCCATGATAGCTATATTATTTTTATTATAATCATCTCCTTTTCTCCCATACCCTCAGCCAAACTACTACATACTACTCAGGTTATCATACAGTTACCTTAATCCTATGAGGACCAATAAACTGCCCATAAGCATTCTCATAGGTGACCTTTTTCTCCCTCAGAGCTACCCGGTAGCCCCAGTTCAGTGAGCCGATGTGATTCTGTACAGCTTCTGTCATTCTGTCCCAGTCATGTTTAACTGCGTAAGAAATTAGAAAACAATGTTTAGATTTTCAACTGTCTGGCAAAGATTATTGTACATGAATAATGTACAAATGGGATATGAAGAGCAGAACTATTTATTGGTCTAAAATGATAAGCCCTTTATTTTCTGCACATAAAATGCTTTCATCTTCAGATATCTTTCCTTTTTAGAAAACTATAAATAATTAACTAATACAAGGCTTACTAGCAATTCTCAAGACTGAAATAACAAAACACAAACTATTTTCTTCTTTATCTAGAAATGAACTGGAATTTTATTTTGGATTATAGATACCAACTGCTGGGGTATGGAAAATGGTAAGGCCTAGGACTCTGTATTTGTATCCAACTCTATGGGATTCTGAAGTAACCAGGTTTGGAGTTACTGAACTGGGAACAGTCTCTAGACTAGGGGCTGAAAACTATGGCCTCACAAGGCAAATTTAGTCAGTCACTGTTTTGGTAAATAAACCTTTACTAAAATATAGTCACATTCATTCATTTACACATAGTCTATGACTGCTTTTGTGCTACAAGGCAGAGTTGATTAATTGCAAGAGACCATATGGTGCACAAAGCCTAAAATATTTACTATGTGGCCTTCATAGAAAAGTGTCAATCCCTGGACTAGACAGGGTATTTTAAGAGGCAATCTCACTGCCTACTCCCCAAGTCCCTAGCTCACCAAACATCAGGCGAGTTTGTGAAACTATCTTAAGAAGTTAATCCTTAGACATTAATATAATCAGTATTTAAATTTCAAAAACCTCAGGAAAAAAGGTTTGAAATATATACACATACATACACACACACACTACCACCATTCATTAATTAATATTTTATCATAAAATAATGTCCTATCAATGATTAAGAAATAAATAGGATACATATAAAATGCACTTGTGATGGAAAGAAGAGAGTTTCTAGAGAAACTGTCATTTGTTAGGGAGGAGAAGAAAATAAGCATATACTGAAAGTCTCTTTTATGCAAATGAGACACCTGAGCTTCAGAGGTTAAGTAACTTGGCTACACATGTGGTGAAACCAGGCAATGGGAGTAAATGGGCACAGACACTGCTACTGACCTGGCCCTGTTCATTACAGACAGCCAGTCTACTCCCTTAGATTCGACAACAGTGACCAAACTAACCAAGCCACCTTGCATCTTTTAACACGCTTAGCACATCTTCTCACTTGAATCTCAAAGCACCCGAAGAGGCAGGAATTGCACCTATAATGTGCACAGAAAATAAATGAAGAATAACCTGTCCAAGGTCAGACTCCAGAGCTCAACTGCAGTCATATGCTCATTATATGTGAAATGTAAGGCATGTGGTGGGAGACTACATCCAAAAACTACAAGCACCTAACTGCAAACCAATTAACTTTGCTTTCCTTGTAATGGTATTAAGTTCCTAAAGCTTCTCAAATACTTTTTTAATGCATACTTAATCCTTGAGCATAAGAGAACTCAAATATTTAAATTTGAAGAATATAATGCCAATAAATCTTCTACAAAGGACCAACTCATCCAATTTAAATGACTGAGCTCAAGTGATTTTTCATAAGACCTGCGACCTTCTCTGGATGTTCTCAGTCTGGCACTTGAGGATAAAGTCATATCACAAACTGAGTCCTGACCCACCAGCTTTGAGGGTGACATGTCATCACACCATCCATCGTCACACCATCACTAAGCAGGTTCAGCTGTTCACCTGGCCCAGGTCCCTTCCCTCCCTTCACCACACTGAAAGCTATCTGCGGTGCCAGAGAAGTTCTCCTAGAAAACAGGAGGGTGGCTCTTTGGTCAAGGATATGTGATTAGGTGTGTTTCCAGTCTAAAAATGCAAAACAAGCCCTCAAGTTTCACCTGTTGAAAAATATGAATAAGCAGCCTGTATGGGTTTTGATTTTCTCAGCAGAAAAGACATCTCCAAATTTCTTTCCAGTTCTAAACCCTAAGGACACAAAACAACATGTCTAAAAACCATTATATTCTTCACCACAATCATTTCACCACAAAAAGGAGAATGGTGATTATGGCTCTCTTAATGGTGGCTCCCAACAGGCATGACAGGCTCCTCCCAGAGCCCAGCTCTGGTTCTCACAGCTAGACCAAGCCTGATTCACAGGGCCAAAGGCTTAATTAATGACAGCCGCGGAAGGTATCAACAAGAATCAAGCCACCAGGCTTCCAGTTAGGAAGACTGAGAGGATTCAAACAGCTCTCAAAGACTTTGGGATTGCCGCTGCTACTGATAAACACAAGAAGGGGAAGGTGTAGAAAGAGAGTACTGTGTATCTCTACCTTAAAATCTGGAAACAAAGAAGAAACATAAAAGAGGTAAAGCTGTTAAAATAGTTGGAGAAATAATTTATGTAAGGATAGAGAAATATGATAACTTTGATTTGATTCAAGTTTTAAAATCCCATGAAATTAAAAAATGTATAGGTGTGGATTATGCTAGTATTGGCTCTTTATTACCTCAGTTGCTGTAAATGCATTCATTCTTGATTATACAATTTAGAAATAAACTTAATATAAAAACAAACATTGAAAAAAAGAAGTCAGTTCTGACTCAGGGTAATGTCCATGCGTCTTGGCTATAATCTTTATGGTAGCAGATTGCCAGGCCTTTCTTTTGTGGCACTGATGGGCAGGTTCAAACAGCCAATTTTCAGGTTAGAAGTTGAGTGCAACACTAGCACAGTTAGTGTTTATTATTGTCACATGGCAGCTACAGAGCTATTCTTCTTCTGGAAAGATCTGTAAATTCACCAACTTATATTTAACCATCCACCTGACTGTTGAATTTATTATAATTATACTTAGTTGGCTAGTTAATAAAATTCATATTTTGCAGAAGCCTGTCTTTTTCATCTTCAACTTACTAATCTGATTTAGTAATTAAACCACCAGCACTTTAAGATGCACTTTAAGATTCTAAAACATATATTTTCCTACATTTCTAACCAAATTAGCAACCCTGTTCCACTGACCACATTTCTCCTAAGGTTGGTAGTTTAGGACTAGCACAATGAGTGTCAAACACAAATTAGAGTACTAAGACCCTATATATGGATGAGTAAGACTTTCTGGGTCTGAGTTACATCTCTCTAGCATAGTCAGTTATCTAGATTGAGGGGCCGGTGACACTGACCGAGAAGAAAGAAGACAGTGCATGGAAATTATAAAGCCACATACATCAAAATTTCCTTGGAACAACCTTGTTTTTTCTAGTTAAATTCTAGACTTGCTCAGATTATGTTCTTAGCACATGTCATTCTTTTTAAGAGTACTAAGTGGATTCAAATACACAATTTCCTATAATATTGATAAACATTTTTAAACAACCCATTAAACAAAGAACCAAGAAAAATGCTTGACTGAATCCATTCCAATTTATGAAACTCTGATTAAATAATTAAAAGAAATCAGTTCAGGAAGGAGGGAGATAAACCAGTACTTGTTAAGTGGCAAGTATTTAATCCCATTATTGTATTTAATCTTCATCACAAAAGCCATAAATGACAGAGCAAGAATGTGCATTCAGGTCTATCTACTGGAATAACTGACAATGTCAGCAAATCAGGACACTGGAGTGAAGAAACCTAGTACCAGGAACCTCAAGGTCCTACTAAGAGTACTGGTAAAGACTGTGTATGGAACACTTTGAAAAAAAAACAACCCACAGATCCTCTGGCAGTGGGTAAAAAATGGGTGGTTTTTTTTTTTTTTTTTTTTTTGTGATTTGGGTGAAGATTTACAAAGCAAATTCACTTTCCATACAGCAGTTCACATACACTTTGTCTCATGACATTGACCACAGTTTACCACAATGCAACAGCTCCCCTCCCACTTCCTCCCCATAGTTACCTCTTCCCTGTGTCCATCCCTCCATGGACTACTGCCTCCTGAGCTGTCTCCCTGTGCATAAGCAGCCCTTCTTTCTCCCATAATTGTTCTCTCCAAAGAGAGTGTCCACTTGAGGTAAATGTTCAACTCATATGCCTGCTTTTTGTTTGGCTGGAAACCACAGGTGTGGGTGCAATTCCAGACCTGAAGGGCAGTTAGGGGCCATAGTCTCAGTGGTTCCACCAGGCTCTATCGGACCAGCAAACCTGGTCCCCCCCCCCTTTTTTTTCCCTCCAAATGATTTTGAGTTTTGTTCCACATTGTCCTCACTCTCTAAAAAATGGGTGGTTTTAAGTTTCTTCCCAAAGGCAAGAAAAAAATTGGACTATGGCCTAGAGACTACCAAGATAACCTGCCCCTCTCTGGAAAGCATGGTAAGAAGAGGCATACATACAGTGTCAAAAGAGCTCTCAATGTGCCTGCCCGCAGGACAGCTCCTCGAGTTCTAACTCTCCAGGAGTCATTTCTGATGCCATAATGGTTTAAAGATGGCTACCTGTAGTGCAAACATGTGCTCTGAAGTTAGAAAGACTCAAATCCAAATCCTAGTTCTTACTTACCTATGACACCATGGGCAAACTACCTCACCTCCTAGAGCTAGAGTTTTCTCAAAGGGAAACATCAGCACGTTGCCAGGATGGTAAGATTAACCACATATTGCTATAGGGATGGTGCTGAGGAAAGGGAAGCATAACCACTAAGTCTGACAGTTAGGACTTCAATGACTCCGTATCAGGCTAGAAGGCAGTTAGGACAGCAAGGGAGAAAAACGATAGCTTCTTCTCGTCTAGAGCTATGATCTTCTTATTTCTCTCCTCATTTTCTTCTGCTACAATTCCAAGAACTACTAAAGGAAGTACCTACAAGCAACTGTTCCATCTTATTCTCAATAAAATTGTGCAGCTGGCTCAGCTGATCTACATCCCACCCAAACCACAGCACAGTCCTCCCAACCATTCATCATGCAAGTCTCTTACATACCCCAGGCTCCAGCCACACCACGGTACTTGCTATTCAAATATGAACCTTGGTCATCCTCTTCTCTCTGCCTGACTGGAGTGACCTTCTCCCCTCTAACGAATGTCAAGTACACATCCATTTGAGAAACCATCCCTAGTCATCTCTTAAGTACAAATTACCAATCCCACCACTGTTCCCTGGGAACTCTGGTGTGTGCATCAATGATAACAGTAGAATCTGTATGCCTACAGGATTTGTATATTTACCTCTGTATTTCCCTAGCACAGAATCAAGTGCAAACAGCAGACACTCAATAGTAATATTACATAACTTCATCAGTGGGATTTCAAAAATGTCTACTAAGTAGTCTAATAAATTAACTGAAGGGAGACTCTGTTGCTAACTGAGTGCATTAACAGTCCTCCCTCTTCCAGGAAGGTGAAAAACTGCATTCATGGAAGAGTTAGTTAATGGGCATTCAGACACTCCAAGGAAATGACAACTGGGCAAAGTATGGGAATAGTGATGGACTACTGGTAAACTATATGCAAAATTCATGTTCCACAGTTAGAAAGAATTTGCTTTAAATTCATGCTTCATGCACCACAAGTCAAGAGTCTGTCCACCTGCCCTTCCCCAAAGGCAACACAAAAGAACATGAGCAAAGCACCTCAAAACCAAATAATGAAGCTCTCAGTACCAACCGCAATGGTCCAAAGGTCATGGGCAGAAAGTAGCCTTGCAAGGGTTTGGGGAAACAGTTATAAATTTTAAGTACCTGAAATTTCTAAGACTACAGACTTGAAAAAAGTAATTTTGGCCTTAACTGAGAAGCAAAAGCACCAACAAAAGAAGTATGACTAATGTGACTGCAGCGATAATTTTCCAAAGGAAGTATTTTTGCCTTGTTTTTTAATATTTAATAAGTTATATATTAATATTCAGAAAAAGCCACAGTTTACCCTAACTACTGGGTGGATGACTGTTCCTTCAAATGCCCCACACTTCACCCCCATACCCAGTAAATCTCAAAACTAAATTCACTGCAACCCTAAAGAATAATGTAGAATCTGCAAAACACTGCATAATGTGAATGAACTTGGAGGACATTATGCTGAGTGAAATAAGTCAATCACAGAAGGAAAAATACTGTATTAGTCTGTTATTGTAAAGTCAAAGAAAGGTTTATTTATGGAAGGAAATCTTCTTTGTTGGTTATCAGGGGTGGGAGGGGAGGAGAGCAGAGGGAACACTGTTAGACAGGTAGAGATAAGTATTGATTTGGGTGAAAAGAAGAGCAATGTACCAAACGTAAGTGATCAACATGATGGCATGAAGAAAAGGAAGATATAGAGAGGTACATGGGAGGTATAGACAACAAAAATGAACCCTTTTGCACATACAGTACTGCGTTGTCAGTGAAGGCAAGTGCGGGTATACAGGTGGATCGATGGGTAGACAGGCTGAGCCATTAGGCATGTCTATGCAGGTTGGAGTGTGCCCAAGACCATGTATAGGGTTGGCAGACAATGGTCCTATAAGTGTATTTGTATGATCTGTATAAATTCCTAGGTGTATAGTAGCGCTGACAAGGGACAAGGTTATAGTCACTTCTTGGTCACAACCAGCTACCCAGAAGGACCGAATAGCTAAACCTGTGGGCTCGGGACCATAGTCACAGGGGACATCAAGCTCAATTGGCATAACACACTACACAAAACATTGTTCCACCTCCTACTTTGGTGAGTAGCAACTGGGATCTTAAAAGCTTGCATGCGGCCACCTAGATGCAATGATGGGTCTCTCCTCATCCAGAACAAAGAAGAACGAAGAAAACCAAAAATTCATGGAAACAATTAGTCCTAGCGACTGGTACACCATGCGATCTGCAGCCTATATGACTATGAAACCAGAAGAACTAGATGGTGCCCGACTACCACTGGCAACCACTTGGAGGGGGATCTATGTAAGAGATCCTGGATAGAGAGGTAGAACAACGTAGAACAAAACTCAAAATCATTTGGAAAAAAAAAGGGGGGGGGGGGCGCGCAGGTTTGCTGGTCTGATAGAGCCTGGTGAATCCACTGAGACTGTGGCCCCTAGCTGCCCTTCAGGGGTCTGGAATTGAACCTGTGGCTTCCAGCCAAACAAAAGACAGGCATAGGAGTTGAACATCTACTTGAGGTAGATACACTCCTAGGAAAGAACAATCATGGGAGAAAGAAGGGCTATTGATGCACAGGGAGACAGCTCAGGGGGCAGGAGGGTATGGAAGGATGGACACAGGGAAGAGGTAACTATCAGGAGGAAGTGGGAGGGGAGCTGTTGCATTGTGGTAAATTGTAGTCAATGTCATGAGACATAGTGTATGTGAACTGCTGTATGGAAAGTGAATTTGCTCTGTAAATTTTGACCCAAATCACAATTTAAAAAAAAAAAAAAAACTAAAGTCACTTAGGGTTTAGAATTTTATTTTTATGAACAGAGTGATGTCCATCATTAATTACTCATGAAGCTGTGCCAGGCCTCATTTCATTTTCTACCATTTATTTTATAATGTCAACAACTGCCTCTTTAATTTTCTAGGATTTCTAGAATACTCTGGATATTTTTAATCTGACAAAGAATAATCAACCCCCTTCCAAAAAAATCAGCTCATGAAACAAGACTCTTTTGGAGAGAGAAAAATGCAACAGTTTCAAAAGAATGCAAATGTAACTTATACTTCCTTGTGGTTCACTATATAATCAAGGGAATTTTATTTTAAGGAATTCTGGTTTTCTAAAATCAAAAGCTCATACTCCAAGTATAGTATTTATTCTTACTACAATACCTATAGTTGGCCAACACACAGTCACTGTAACAAACGAGAAACTTATTTAAAAAATAAAAACTTCCAGGTAATTCATTAGCCTCCTAAAATTAGATGATAGATTACAAGATGATAGTTCAAACCCCAAAAGCACAAAGGTAGCTTTTCCCTTCATACCTGTCTCCTCGACTTTCCATCCATAGTTGCGAGAGTCCTGCAGGGCTTGTCCTAACAAAGCTGCCTGGTGCATCAATTTTTTAGGAATGCAACCCACATTCACACATGTTCCTCCAAGACCTACAACAACATTGAGAAGTAAGTTTGTAGCATACTTTACAATCTTTCAAAGAAAAAGATCAATAATTATTATAATTCTAAGAAATAAAATTTATTTGCTTAACGTGGCCGATACTGTTGACATGAAGCTATTCCTGTTTCCTGACATCTCTTAAGCTCAGAGAGCTTTATAGACAAAATACACTAACATCATCCTAAAACAAAAATGTGGGGCAGATTTCCACATACTACAAAGATTCAAAATTAATCAACTGACAAAGATGACAGAAACTAAAAATGCATTATGTGCACAACCCTGTGTTTGTCACTAGATCTATGCACAGAACTGATAAGCTAAGCATGGTTGGACGCAGTGTGTCTGACAGTATATAAAAAATTTAATGTATATGTATATTTTTCTAAGTAGATCGTTCATGGCTTTCACTTGATTCTCAAAAGGATTTATGACCAAAAATGTCAACATCCCTGAACTTAAAGAATGTGGGGGATAGAGTGCTTCCATTAGAATAAAATGCAGGGGGAGGGGGGGTAAACTGGCATGAATAGAAGTACAGGATGGTACTTGCTATTCTTCAAATACGAACGTTGGTCACTCTCTTCTCTCTGCCTGGATGGAGGGAGTGACCGTCTCCCTTCTGCTGATTGTTAAAGACACTACACATCAGAGAAACTATCCTCAGTCACCTCTTACATCAGGATTTCCCAATCCCACCACTGTGCTCTCAGGGTACTTGGCATAGGCATCAATGATCCATTCACAGATAACAAGTTTAAATTTAATTATTAAGCCCCTAAGTATACTAAACTATATAGGTTACTCAAATATTTAGCTTTATAACATCATAAAAGGTTGTAGATAAAGTGTTTACTATCTTAACTCTGTACCAAACAACCAAAGTTTTCAGCATGTTTTAACCTGAGTGCATTTTAATGTAGCTCAGTTGAAAGAGGTATAGTTTTAAGTTTAATTTCACTTTAAATTCAGTTTTAGGAGCTATTTAGACCAGTGCCATGGAAAATCCTGCTTTCTTACAAATTCATTTTCAAAATGTTTTAAAAGCTTACCCCATCTAGTTCCAAGTGGTGTTGGAGTGACAAAATCCAGGACCATCACTTTCTTGCCATACTTGGCTGCCTCCTGGAAAACACAATTATTAAATTTAATGTTAAAATGTGTTGGAAAAGGGTTGACATGATAAATTAGAAATGGGCTGATACAAATTCATGCAGTTTTTATTAAGCAGTAATATTTAAAGCATATCCAGTTATTAACACCTGGGAATTTCATATGCCAAGGTGATTACTGCAACTCCAGGATAAAAACTGAGACTCAGACATAAGGGCAGCTTTAGAGAACATGCAGGTTATGGCTGTAAAACTGTCAGAATCTGTGGAAATTCTAGAATCCTCTTATATAGTTCTAATCAAATGATAACTAAGTAAGCAATAATCAGAAAAAAATGTAGCCATTTTTCAAGCAAGTGATAAGCAGCGGATAGGTAAAGCAGTCTTGCCAATAGCCTCTAGAACTCGATTTAATTTGTATCCTCATATGGCAATATTTTCAAAACCACTTTCAACTTTGATCTAATTTACTTTATAAGCTTTTCTTCTAAAATATGAGATTTCCTAAGGTTTTTGTGTAAGGATCCACGAAAAAGCTGATGTCTAAGAGGTTTCTAAATCTTCTTTCCTAGGGCAGTGGAGACAAGAGTCAGAAGTTCATTTTGTAGAGAACTCTATCTCTTTCAGAAAACAAGTTTGCATATTGGCAACTAGACCTCCAATGGTTATTTGAAAAGACTAAGTCTGTGTGTCCTTTAAAAAACACCATTACCATAGTAAAATATATCATGTCTTATTCCCAAATCACTTTCAGCAAAGCACTGCTTGATGCCAAACAAATGACATTCACTAGGGGTTACTTTTGGTCCGGCCTGCTCCTAATTTAGGCAGCCTCATAAATGAGCCTTGACCGATGCACCACAAGCTACACCTTAGGGCAGTATCATCACTTCATCATTTAAAGAACACGTTGGGTAAGGGTGGCAGGCCCAAGGGATGCTGCATGGAAAGTGTAAATCAGATTCAGGGTCAGGAGCTTGAATACTAAACCCACAGTCATCAAGTCCACTCCCACTCACAGTGATCCTATAGGACAGAACAGATCTGCCCCCCAGTTTCCAAGGCTACGATCTTTACAGAAGCAGACAGCCACATCTTTCTCCCACAGAGTGGCTGGTAGGTTTGCACCACAGATCTTCTTGTTAGCAGCTTAATCACTGCACCACCAGAGCTCCTGCTTCATTGCTAATTTCCCTTATTTATGCATCCTCTCATCACCCCCAGGCCACTGAGCTAAAGGTTACTCTCTTAGAACACCTTGTATACACAGGAAGCAAGGTGTTTTTAATAAATAAGTTTAAAAAATCCAACTTCTCTCCATATTTCCATTAGGTTGGAGGAGGTTGTAAACAGGGAAACAGTCAATGTGGAAAAAAATTTCAAGCCAAGATTTCCATATGACACCCCTATTATCTTCGAAAAATCACCCAAATTTAAAATGAAAATACTGGGCCTAATACCTCTATATATAGAACATACCACATTTCAATTTGGAGAAATGACTTATAAAGTAGTGCCTTAACATGTCCTGGCCAAGCAGGCCAAACACCCCATCAGGAATTGAACAAATTCCAGAGAGATTAAAGAATTTAGCTGTGCCAGGGATGTGAATAGTCAAACCATAATCCAAATAAATACAAGTAGCCTGCCTTGCCTTAGCAGCTGCCAGTCCTCCTGAGCCACCGCCAATGATGATAAGGTCATAGTCGTAGGACTCAGGAAAATCCTCAGAGCCATTCATGGTTAACAGTGTTTGAAGTCTGCCCTCCTGATAAGCCTAAAGAAAAAGAACAGAAGGGAAAATAATGTAAATGCAGCAATGTTTTGATATATGCTGTGGTATCCATGAACCCTGAAAACATTATGCTAAAGTGAAATCAGACACCAAAGAATAGATATTATATGGTCCCACTTATATGAAATAACTAAAAATAGACAAATGCACAGAGACGAACATTTATTGGTGGTCATCAGAGGCTGGGGAAAGGGAGAAGGAAAAGAGCTATCATTGAGTTTCTATGAGGAGCTCTGGTATCGTAGTGCCTAAGGCGTTTGACTGCTAACCAGAAGGCTGGTGGTTCAAACCCACCAGCCACTCCTGGGAAGGAAAGGTTGGGCAATCTACTTCCATAGTGATACCGCCTCAGAAACCCAAGGAGCTTGAATATGAGTTGGGTCCAGCTCGACGGCACATAACAACAACAAGTTTCTATGGGAGTGATGAAACATTTGGAAACAGACAGTGATGACTGTTACACAACAAAAGGCAAGCAACACACTGCCATCGAGTCGGACCCGACTCATAATGACCCCTCCTTGGGTTTCCGAGGCAGTATCACCATGGAAGTAGGATTGCCCAACCTTCCTTCTGAGGAGTGGCTGGTGGGTTTGAACCGCCAGCTTCTGGTTAGCAGTCAAATGCTTTAGGCACTACGCCACCAGAGCTCCTTGTTACACAACAAGGTGAATGGAATTAATGTCACTGAAGAATATACTTAAGAACGGTTAAAATGGCAAAAATTTTTTATATATATTTTACCACAATAAATGAACTAAAAAAGGACTGTAGGAAATCTTTCTTTTAAAAAAAAAAGGAATTTTCAAAGGAAAAATGTTGCTTAGTTTCACTTACATCACACAAACAGAAATATTCAACCTTCCTTCCAGTGGTACTTTCTTTTAGGGTATGATCCCTCAAGAACCGTGTCCCAAGGCCTTTTCACACCACTGCTAACTACTTGGAAGTGATCAACTAGCACTTCTATACAAGTAAGGTCCCAACAGCCCAACAAAATCAAGTTAGGCCTAAATTAAGTTTCAGTATCAGTACTTCTTTCCTGAAATGTTTTAACTAGGTTTTAAAAGAGCTTTTTAAAAACATTTTATGGTACTTTTTTGTGGAACCATCAATGCATTCTAGCAATCCTCTCTACTTTCTATTTAGAGGCAGAATAATGACTGGACGGAGATCTCAGACTGAGATAAGGGCCTGGTAAACTGTGTTCAGCACTAAACTCATTACAGCAATTGAAACAAATCAGTCAAATATATAAGACCCTTCTACACTGCTTAGCTGAGACATAAAATTCTAGAATTTCTAAACAAATCATTAATTGATATTGACCTGCATAAAAAGTTAGATATAAAAACTAGCTTTTACAAGGTACTCTAAACAAGCCCGATTCTATAAAGCTCCTTTCTTTCATCTGCATACACAGGAAGTCTCCTACATTGTATTTGACATTTAATTTCCATGTATTTGGCATGTAACAGATTTTAGAAATTAGATGTTTGATTTTTAATTTAAAAACAACATTTTCATTCCATCGGTTTAGTTACACTTCATATTGGCTAGTTACATTTCACATTGGCTAGGAACACTGTTTTAGTGATATAATTAATACTACCTTTTACCAAAACAAAAATCTGTGCTAACAAATAAAGTTGCTTATTAACAAGCACAATAAAATCTTTTTAAAAATGAAATCTTAACTTTAAAAACCGAAACAGCCTCCAAACTTACCAGGCCAGACTGCACATGTCTCTGCTGCTTACAATCAGATGTAGAGGGTGAAAGGCAGAGCTGGGGGTCAGCAGCAGAATCAGGTGCTTGGGATGTGGAAGGGGGTGCGGTGGAGGAAGGCAGAGGAGGAAGCACAGCACTGGGGCTGCCCCTTGGCAGCACAGCAGGTACACAAGGTGGATCAGGGACTGGACAAAGGACACCTGGAAACCAGCCACAGTGGGGACAAGCCTGGATCACCCTGAGAGTCTGTACAAAGGGGCTAACAGGGGAGGCTGGTAAACACAGCCAACACTCATCGGCTGGCATTATGCCAGATACTCCTCCTCTGGTACTAGGCACTGTGGGGGAAAAATAATTTGGTGATAACCACCATGTAAATCAAAGACTCAATATAAGACTCAGATAATCATCATCACTCCCAACTTGGTCTCCAAGAGCATGAGGCTGACCTGCCGGTTTGAAAGAGTTAATATGCACAGCTAGAGTTCTGCAAAAATAACACACGACCACTTTTAATCTCAGCCTCATTTTATCAGCAGCACAGTGTCTACTTAACCCAGATGGTAACAGAATACACTCACTCACTGTGGAATTGTAAGTGAAAATTGTAAATGTAAACTCCTCCCCCAACAAAAGAAAATGCATCATCATGACGAAAAGCCACTCACTCCCCACCACCAATGTTTATAATCTGTTCTTTATTGAAATTCTGTATCAGACCTGGGTTCTTATGGTTCAAGCCTGAAGTCTAATTATATCAGCCAGCGCAGATTGTATGAAGAAAGTGCTGAGTGAGTCTAAATGTTTTTTAACTTTGAAAGATACATCAATCAGTAAATTAGGATGACCACACATGGCACAAACAATAAAACCCCAGCAACTGAAGCATTCGGTTGGCCCACAAACCAACCATGTGTATATTTTTATATTTAAACTCAATTTAATGAAACAATGAAATCACTGCCATGCAGCTCCAGGTAAATGTATCTTATCTGAAATATAAATAAGATGGTCATGCTAGAGAAGAGCTCTACTAGACAGTGTAAGAAGGCAGCACAAAGACGGGGCTCTCCTCCGATTACAATGGCTAGAAACACGGGGCCAGTGACTGTAGTGGTTGGTATAAGACAGACGTTCTCAAACTTTCTGGTATCAAACCCCTTTACACTCTTAAATTACTGAAGACCCACTCCAAAGAGCTCTTGTTAACATGGATTTTACTCACTAATATTTACTATATTAGAAATTAAACAGTCCTTTAGACACAGTGGTTAAAATGCTTGGCTACCTAAAAAGTCAGTGGTTCAAACTCATCAGTTGCTCTATAGGATAAAGATGTAAGCAGTCTACTTCGGTAAAGATTATAGCCTTGGAAACCCAATGGGGCAGTTCTACTCTGTCCTATAAGGTTGCACTGAGTCAGAATCAATTCAACAGCAGTGGATGTGGTTTGGTGGGTGGCGTAGTAGTTAAGCATTCAGCTAACTGAAAGGTCAACAGTTCAAACTCACCAGCCACTCTGCAGGAGTAAGATGTGGAAGCCTGCTTCCACAAAGATTACAGCCTTAGAAAGCCTATGGGACAATTCTACCCTTGCTATAAGGTTGCTTGCTATTAGTTGAAATCAACTTAATATCAACAGGTTTTATATTAGAAATCAAATAGAAAGAAAAACTCAAAATACCTGTTAACAAATTTAAATATAATACAACCATTATGTATTAATATAAATATTTGTATAAAAATAACAGGTTTAAAATAGTGAGAAGAATGGCATGTTTTATATCTTTGCCATTCTTTAATGTCTGGCTTTACAAAAGAGCTATATTTGTTTCTATATCCAATCTGTTTTGACATCACCTGTCATATAACACCTGTCATCTAACCCTAAGGAGATTCAGTTTTCTAATCTTAAAAAATTATCCCCATACCGAGGCTGGTAAGAAAGTAGCTTTGTGCAAGTGGCCATCTAGACCCAACGATGGGTCTCTCCTCGTCTAGAGCAAAGAAGAATGAAGAAAACCAAAAATTCATGGAAACAACATTAGTCCAAGCGACTAGTACACCATGCAATCCTCAACCTATACGACTATGAGACCAGAAGAACTAAATGGTGCCTGGCTACCACTGTTAACCACTCGGGAGCAGGAGGTGGGGGGAGATCAATGTAGGAGATCCTGGATAGAGTGGGAGAATAATGTGGAACAAAACTCAAAATCATTAAAAATAAAAAAAGGGGGGGGGGGACCAGGTTTGCTGGATGGAACCACTGAGACTACGACCCCTAGCTGCCCTTCAGGTCTGGAATTGAAACCACTCCTCTGGCTTCTAGTCAAACAAAAGATAGGCATGTGAGCTGAACATTTACATGAGGTAGATACACTCCTAGGAGAGATCAAACATGGGAGAATAGAAAGGCTGTGTATGCACAGGGAGACAGCTCAGGGGGCAGGAGTATATAGGAGGGAAGGAGGACACAGGGAAGAGGTAACTACTGGGAGGATGTGAGAAGAGAGCTGTTGCACTGTAGGAAATTGCAGTCAATGTCATGAGACAAAGTGTATGTCAGCTATTGTATGGAAAATGAATTTGCTCTGTAAACTTTCACTCAAATCACATTTTAAAAAACATGAAAAAGACAGAAAGCTCTGGAAGTTCTCTTTTCGTGCAGTAGAAAACTTGCCTGGGGCTAAGACAAGAGGCTTTGGAACACATTTTACAGACATCCCGTACTTCCCTGGACCACCCCCCACCAGCAATGCCCTCTTCTCATCACATCCTGACCCAGTGTCCCAGTGTATAGACAATGTATAGAAAAAATGGCACAAGCAGACATTATAGTATTTATATTCTATGTGTTGTTGTTGTTGTGTGCCACTGAGTCAGCCCTGACTCACAGCGACCCCTCCCTGGGTTTCCGAGGCAGTATCACTACGGAAGTAGACTGCCCCATCTTCCTCCCGAGGAGCGGCTGGTGGGTTTGAAGCGCCAGCCTTCTGGTTAGCAGTCAAGTGCCTTAGCCACTAAGCTACCACAGCTCCAGAAACATATTATCCTTTCAAAAGCAATCCCTTGAGGGGGCATGGAACTCTTAAGACCTCAAACAAGGACTGTTTCTTTCATTAAGTCTCCCTTAATTTCTAAAAATTCTCTTTGTGTTTTGCAACTCCTATAGACTGGGTAATCTACTTCTGTAGAGACACTCCCTCGGAAACCCAAGGAGGGTTCGCTATAAATTGGGACCAACCTGA